TTTTTTTTTTTCCGCCTTCCTCCTTCCTCTTAACGCGCCTTTCTGGACGTGCTCCATTTCTGGCGCGTCCGATTAGAGCGGCTACCGAATAACGCGGTAATTAAAAATGAAGAATTTTAAGCCGCGGAAGTGGGACACAGCCAGTGCCCTTGGGAATAGTAGATTCTTTTTTTTCTTTTTTTTCTTTTTTCTTTTTCCCTTTTCCCCGATGAACATTATTTCCAGTATTTTTTTTCGGGAATTTGAATTTTAAGACCAAAGTAAGTGTAAATCTGCGCGGTTTCGTCGGTTTGGGGAATTTTGGGGTGGATACGGTTTATGCCAAAATCTGAGCACTGCAGCAGTGCCAGCTTTTATCGTTATAAAACGTGCTGACGCCAACTCGCTCGATCGTTAGGTGGGGGGATTTCGACATATTGTCTTGTGATATTCTCTCTCCAAAAAGCAAATGGAGAATTAAGGATCCCAAAATAGATTGACTTTCTTCTCGGGGATTGCCTTTGTCTTGCTTTGTTCTGCTCTGAATCAGCTGCAGGGCTGTTGGTGCAGTGTATCTCTTTGTTAGAAATCACCACCAGATTTCGTTAAGGGTATAAAATAACTAGCAGCTCTACTTCTTTTGAGGGGCTAACGTTTAATAATAAATTAAGTGGATCTGGGATGCCTTTGCACCGGGGGTATTTTTGCTGTGTAATTAATGATGTCATTGTCTTAATAAAATGTCTTTATATTCGGGAGCGCTACCTTAAATGATGAAATGTGATGTAAGAGCATGGCTATGTGAAGTGCTGAGCATTCCGCTGTCGCTAGTAGGAGTGAATTGGCATAAAATGTCGTCTTTGCTAGATCGAATCTGCTATAAATGCAAACGCAATTAAAAATGTATGGCGCTGCATGTCAAACATTAATCTTCCGTTTCAGGTATTCTTAATATTCTGCAGCATTACCTCACTTCCAGCTCGCGAAACGATATAAAATTGTTAATTTTCTGCCAGAATTCCAATGTTAAGTGTTGAAGGAGCGTTCCTTAGAGCTGCGGTTGCCCGAATCGGTGTTTCTAGGTGTCACATGGAACATAAAGCAGATGGCGATGACGCTGGAGGTGATCTGCCCGGCGAGGATGCGGCCCGAAGCCATGGCCGACACCGGGATGAGTCTGGGCTTGGAGCAGTGCTGAGAGGGCTTGGGGAGAGGATTGTAGTGGAGCTCCATCCCCATTCCACTCCTAGCAGCTCTCTGGCCATCCACCTCCATTTCTGCCAGCTGCAGTGGACAAGAACCTTGCCAACCGCCCCGGGCCTGCGTTAAACTCGTTTAGGGAGAGAGGCAGGTGTGGCTGAGCTTGGAAAAAACCAGGAGCGGGGCTGAGGACTATGATGCCAGCCAGCTCCCGGTCTGCTTCCTGCTCCAGCCACCCTCTTCCAGCCGCATCCCCTCCCCGGCTTCCTCCCGCTCCTGCCTGCGCCTCCCCCAGCAACATCGGGGCCGGTTTTGAAAAGGCCAGGAGGGAGGAAGCCGTAGGAGGGGATATGAAGCGCTTTAGTGGGAAAACGTGGAGATTTTTATTTATTTATTTATTTATTTTAAACAATGGCTAAGTCGAAACAAATGTGTGCGTTTGAATGTTGAAATCCAATACTTTCATTAAGTGAACCTTCCAGCAAGAACAGAAATAACTCCAGCAAAGATGGGATTGCGTGATAACGGGTTTGAATTTGTACTATATCTTTCTGGAACATTTTTTTAAGAGGAGTGAAACTAGTCTGTAATCAATTCTATAAGAGCTATAATGTAAATTTTAGTAAAATTGCTTGTTGTACCAATTCCAGATGCTTGTTTTTAACTTGGTAGTTTCTTAAAAAAAAAAAAAACACAAACAATTTCTCTCCATTAGCACCTGTGCTAGAGTTTGACTATCTCATCTGTGGAGACTGTGGCAAAGAATTCATGGACTCCTACCTTATGCAGCACTTTGATTGGGCAACATGTGATAATTGCAGGTATTACGAATGATCAGGAGAGGGGAACTTTTTATATTTTATCTAAAGAACGTAGCTAATGGCAGCCGTTCTCAATTCTGTTAGCGAGGCAGGGAGACACACTTCAGTAACTTAATACCTTCTGAAGAAGTGGGGTGATATTTTCCGCTGGGGAGGGGAGAAACGGCAGGGTTGTCTCATGGGGCTGCCCCGAGCAGGGGGCACAGCAAGAGATTTATTTCTTCTTTTTACTCAAAAGCGCGATGTCTTAAAAAAAATTGGGTTGGGTGCTTTGGTGGGGGGGAGGGGGAGCTGCTGCTATGGCGGCAGTTAGGCCGGGCCGCGTTAGCGAGGGTGAGGAGACACGCGTGGTCTCGGTGCGGGGGGGGGGTTGACCCGGGGGGGGGTAGTACTTT